GTTGGACTTCCACGCGATTTAAATGGATCGGTAGGCGCGTTGTGCGTAGGGCGCCGTGCGTGGCGAAACACGCTCGCCCGAGTTTGATTCCCAGCCCCCGGCCAACATCAGTGGCGCGTGGATAGCCGCACCGATCCTAAACCACGCCCGACTTCACCACCTACCCGCAATGACCGGCGTGGTGAAGTATGGTCAAACATAGGGGCGACCGATAGGTCGCATCACAACACGTTTATTACGTCTCTGGCTCACCGGTGGGCAGTCGCCTCCTCGTCACTCTTCTAGCGCTCCTACCGTGGCTCACTGTGCACGCGAACCTTACTCGTTGCTTCCTCCAGCCGTGTTGAGGACTCACCGAGTGCGTCGTCTCATCCACACTCTGTTCAACCAGCGACACTGCAGGTCAAGACGACGCAAATCACTCACCAACTCACTCGCCCACCCACCCGCTCTTCCCGACTCTTCCCACGCACTGCTCCGCTTTGGAATTCTCTCCTCGTGTCGTCTCTCCCTCTCTCTCTCTCTCCTCCCCCTCTCTCAAGCTCGAATAACGTTGCCGAGATCAAGAAACGGACGATCTCTGATCTTGATTTGAAGCATTCGTGACTGCAGGAATCCATACTCTTTGGTTCTTTCGGTAAAGTCACGTAGGTAGAAACAAAATAAATCACGACGTTTCGGGCACAACACAATCGTCCGTCATCAGGTGGGAAATGATGGACGCTTGTGTTGCGCCCGACGGGAGACTCCGTACTCGCCGCGTGAACGTGGAGTGAGCGGAGGGCGCGCCGTTAGCGGGAGCGCCTCTTCAGGCTGGGTCAGTCGTGGGCGGAGTTTGACTTCCAAGGGACACATCTCCCCCATTATTCAAATATGCTCAAAAAGTCGTGTCCCCCCCCCCCCCCCAATATATTGCTATAAAAATAATTGCTATGCTATATAAATACAAGCAACAATTTGCTAAGCCTTGGCCACAATATCTGGACTTGTAAAAATAAATAAAAAGTCCATCCTATGTGTTAGTGATTTTTTTTTTCATATTTTAGGCAGGAAATTAGATTTCAAATTTAGTTTTTTTTTTTTCTGGAGGGGGACCCCCAGACACCCTGGATGATTTGGTCCCCCCAATGTTGACTCCATGGCTACGGCCTTGTTGACTTCTACGTTTGGGTGGGGCCGAGGGGTTCGCTTTGTCCCTCACATCAATGGATAAATATGCGTACGTTTAATCTTAATTGGGAACTCCTGAAAATTAATTAATGAAGGTGTCCGGTTTGGGTAGGGGGGGGGCATTGCTCCGCCCCTCGTGACCTCCCCCCCCCCCGCAAACTCCACCCATTGGCTGAGGGTTCTGTTCGTGAGTCGAGGCGTGCGCGCGCAGTCGAGCAACGGCAACGAATTCTGATGATCTCACTGGCGATTGATTCTGATTACACTGGTGATTGATTATGGTGATGATGATTACACTGGTGGTGAATTCATTGGTGATTGATGATGATGAATACACTGAAGACGATCTCACTGGTGATTGATGATGATGATGACACTGATGACGATCTCCTGGTGATCGATGATGATGATGACACTGATGACGATCTCTTGGTGATCGATGATGATGATGATTACACTGATGACGATCTCACTGGTGATCGATGATGATGATTACACTGATGACGATCTCTTGGTGATCGATAATGATGATGACACTAATGACGATCTCCTGGTGATTGATGATGATGATGACACTGATGACGATCTCACTGGTGATCGATGATGATGATTACACTGATGACGATCTCCTGGTGATTGATGATGATGACACTGATGACGATCTCCTGGTGATTGATGATTATGATGATTACACTGGTGATAAATTCGTTGGTGATTGATGATGATGATGACACTGATGTCGATCTCCTGGTGATTGATGATGATGATGACACTGATGACGATCTCACTGGTGATCGATGAATGATGCAAAGGAGAGAACGGCGTCCGAAGAGAGGTGGGATCGAGTACCCACACTGAACGCCATCGCACGCGGACTGCCTGCCGATCGACTCGCTCGCTGATATCCAATCGCACGCGGCCACATTGATGGTGGCAACCTGTTACCGTGTAGATCGCGACGCGAGGTGAGGTGTGATGGGGGTGGAGGGTGCGAGGGAGGCAGGAGGCAAGGGCTCGCAACAACACGAGTCGTTCATTCACCATAGTTAAGAGGCAGACGCGATGACAGGGGAGGCTGGGTATCGTTCGGGTCGCGACCCTTAATTGCCGCGCGGCGCAATTAGCTCGAGGCCACGTGGCCCTGAGCAATTAGCGCCGGGCCACGTGGCACGGACTTTGTCCAAAGCGCGCCACGTGGCCGACCACGTGGCGCGGTGCGGCGACGGCGAGCGGCCGAAAGAAGCGTCAATAAAGGCAGTCCATGCCATCGTCGGCTTTGCGGACGATCGCATCACTCACCAAGCACGATTATCAAACAGCGGGGGGGGTTGGGAGTAGCGGCGCGAGATGCAGCGTCCCGGGAGACTCCACGTGGCACCCCTTCATGGCTGGAGGCACGTGGCGGTCGACGGTAACGACGGCGGAGTGGCGGCCACGGGAGGGCACGCGCACGTCGGGAAACGTCCGCCGAGGGAGACGGAGCCGTGGAATCGCGGAGCGCGTAGGAGCGGCCCCGCTGCGCGCATTATTACCATCGATGGATCGTGAGAGATGGCGGCGGGGTTTTTTTCTTTTGGGGGAGGTGGGAGCCTTCATTCAGCAGTGGATTGAGCATGGCTGACGATGAGGAATTGGTTTTACGCGACGCTGCCATTCGCCGAGATGTCAAACAAATAAATGTGATTCGGTAAAAGCGTGACCGCGAATCTGAGCAATGGACATTGGTGGTGGTGGTGACGGTGAGCCCGTGGGGGCGCCGGTCACAGTACGGTGACACCCCCACATCTGTCACCCAACAACAACAACAGCAGCAGCAGCAGCCACTCGCCGATTTTTCATCTTCCCAATGGCGTTTAAAAAAAATGAAAAGCAACAAGAGGCGTACAATTGTACGTCCAATGTGTTTGTCAGCTATTCCAGGGCATCAATCTGAGCTGGATTATGTTTAAACACGCGGGCTGCCGTCACGCGGGCTGCCGTCACGCGGGCTGCCATCGCGGATGAGTGGCACCTGCTCGCTCCGCCAGAATCACCGCGATCAGCGACGTGCGACTGACGATGATCCGCGCCCTCGACGCATTGGCGATTTTACGGAGTCCTCGCTCGATCCATTCCCGGGGGGGATTGACCGCACGCCTTCGACCCCCCCGTCACCCCCACGCGGGGCTGCTGCTGTTGTTGGGACGCGGCCCCCCTCGCTGTCGTCGAGGTAGCAGAGAGAACCCCCCATTCCCCTCCCCCCCAGAACCGTTCCTCCGTGACTACCGCGCATCTGTGAGAAAAGAGCTTTGTAGCTCATCGGATTCCTCCCGGATATTATCGGAAGATTCCGATCGTGGCTCCAGCACTGGGGTCATTAGCATAGGCGCTCGCTAGCTCGCAGCACTTGCCACAACAGCCTGCGTAGGCTACACGGGGAAGCCTTTGTGTGTAACGTAGGCGAGCAGAATTTGCAACTTCCCTTCGAAAGCGCAAATATCGCTCCGGGCATCTCACGTCGTCGTCGTCGTCGTCGTCATCAGCACTGCGCGAGATCTTCTTCAAAGCTCACGTGGCGCTTGAGAATCGAGGCGTGTGTCCCCAAAAAAAATAAAACCGGACGTCTCGATGTGGGTATTTGGTGATGTCACCGTGGCGCTTGTGCCAGGCTAGGTGCGCTGTGAGTCCGCGTGAAGTGTGGTGTGGTGTGAGCGGGCAGGCGGTGCGAAGGGCCGGTTACTCATCCTTCAACCTTTAGGCGAATTGCACACAACACACACACACACGGGGCACGAGAGACAGAAAGCCTCGTCTGTCACACACACACACGGACAATTCCCCTGACTTTACAACGCTCACCGATGTAAGTCGATATGTAAACCGGTTTCACGGGCTAACCGGTTTTCAAAGCATCTGCACCGCCATGGAATGCAACTGCGGTTCAAATTGTTCGCACGCTGGACTCGCAATCCGGAGCTCAGCCGTTCAATCTCCCGGGGCGGCATTTGAGGCAGCGGTGGCAGGCTTCCTCTGTCCACTCAGCAGGACGAGAAGGGACAACCACAAATCAAGACGATGGGCAGGCCGCGTGTGATGGGGTAAAACGTGGGTAGCCTCGTCTGGCCAAAGGCGTCCAAGATCAGACCGAATATTGATCGGAGGGGGCCTCTCTCGAGCTCCCTCTGCTGGAGGCGCTTCCGCCAGCGGTGGCCTCGGCGAGCACTTTCAGGGCTGCGCCCGTCAGCCTCTGCACGTTGGCGTGGGTGCTTACGGCGCCGTGGTGTGGCGGTGCAGGTTGTGGCGCGTGTGGTTGATGCACGCCGTGGGGTGGTGGCTGCGCTCACAGCCCCCCTGCTTAGTCGCGAGCGTTGCGCCGATTGCGCGGGCAGGGACGGCGCAGGGCTGCGTGAGACTGCCGGTAGTGCAGGCGGAGTGGAGTTTGTTGAGAGGGTGGCGCGGTGCCCGGTGGGTGGTTGCGCGTGCGTGCGACGTGGTAGTGACGACTCAAATCGCGCGATTCTCATCCGAGCCGTGGCACCACCACCACGCGGTCGTTCCCACGGCGTGGAAACGGTGTCATGGGGCAATGCGTGCTGCTCGTGCAGGCTGCTTTGTCGTAGGGCAAGCTGCGTGTCGGCTGCGCTTGGTAGTGCCATCTGCTGGTGGTGCAGTCAGCGTGTCGGTAGTGCGTTCTGCTTTGCAAGCGATGTGTGGGACGCGTGGTTGCGGCGGCGGCGGCACGCGCACAGCACAGCCGCCGTGCGTAGCGGTGAGTGCCGTGGGCTGCGCGGTGGCGCACAGAGGCCGTGAGGTGCAGGGGGGCACCAGTGGGCGCAGCCGGAGGCACTCACCGCGGGGCGAGATCGCGCCAGCGGCTCCGGGCGAGTGACGGCTCCGCGCTCCGCGTTTGCACCGCGGTGGCGACGCAGCGCGACGCCTCTCCAAGCGCCGCGGAGCTTTGGAGAAGATCTCGAGCAGTGCTGCTGATGATGACGGCGACGATGATTACGATGCTGCTGCCGATGATGATGATGACGGACGACGATGACGACGCTGCTGCTGCTGATGATGATTTTGAGATGCCCGTAGCGCTATTTGCACTTCGAAGGGAAGTTGCAAATGCTGCTCACCTGCGTTGCACGGCACATGGATGCACAGACAAAGGTTCCCCGTGTAGCCTACGCAGGCTGTTGTGGCAAGTGCCGTGTGCTAGCGAGCGAGCGAGCGCCTATGCAAAACAGGCACGGCGCACGAGGGGCTGCTCTGTCCAGAACCGAGCCAGCCCGGCTGTTGTTTACGCGCCGCATCAGGTACTCGTTTAAGGCTAAGCCGACCTAAAGGGAGTCCACACGCCGAATGCGCGCTGTCTGCTCCACTCAAATGAACGCCAGGGAGCGCTCTCCTCCGTTGGGTGGCTCAGAAGAGCAGCGGCATGTCCACAGTCCACATTCTCCCTTGGGAAGGAGCCAGGACGTCCGTGTGTAACCCACGGCGCGCGTTCCTCGAAGTGGCCCTACTCACGGTCAGTCCCTGTTTGGACCCCCCCATGCTGATGTCAAACATTAAGAGAGGCGATATGCGTGTGTGCGTGTGTGCGTGTGTGTGCGTGCGTGTGTGCGCGTGTGTGTGTGTGTGTGTGCGCGTGTGTGCGTGTGTGTGTACGTGCGTGTGTGTGCGTGTGTGCGTGCGCGTGTGTGCGTGCGTGTGTGTGCGTGTGTGTGTGTGTGTGCGTGTGTGCGTGTGTGTGTGTTTGTGCGTGTGTGCGTGTGTGTGTTTGTGCGTGTGCGTGTGTGTGCGTGTGTGTACGTGCATGTGCGTGTGTGTATTTGTGCGTGTGTGTGCGCGTGTGTGTGTGTGCGTGTGTGTGCGTGCGTGTGTGTACGTGCATGTGCGTGTGTGTGTTTGTGCGTGTGTGCGTGCGTGTGTGTGTGCGTGTGTGTGTGCTTGTGTGTGCGCGTGTGCGTGTGTGTGTGCGTGTGTGCGTGTGTGTGTGGAGCGGCGGTGTAGCGGTCAGCGCGCTGCGAGCCCGGCGACCCGAGTTCGATTTCTGCTCACGGCCAACACCGGCGACGATTACCCGAACGCGTCCTGGGCCTCCCCAGCTAGGTCGACTCAGCCTCAAATGAGTGCCTGGTGCGATGTGTATAAACATCGCCACTCGCGAGACAAAGGCGGCCGGGCGTGGTGCGGGCCACCCACCCCTGCTCGTGTGCCGTTCCAACCTTCTTCGGTGCTACTCGATAACAACACTTGACCCAGCAGTTTGTTAAAGCTTTAAGGGGACTCTTTGCCTTTTTTTGACTCAACGGCTGTGCCTTGAAGTAGAGGGGGGGGGTGAACAAACAAACGCGGAACATCGCAAAACTCTCGTGGCCTTTCCTCGCCCATCGAGACGATGTTTGCTATCCTCGCGATCCACCCTCCTGACGTTCACAACTCGCCGCTTCGTTGTTGGCCGCGAGGCGACGGACAGCGACGTCTTCCAATTGCACTTCCACAACGGATGGGGGTGGAGGGGGAGGTCAAGTCAAATTGACGACGTGACAGACGTTGATTGATGACGTCACAGGCATTGATTGATTTTGGTGGCAGTATCCCCCCCACCCCTCCCCCAGGCGTTTACTCCCGACGGCGTCACGAGACGGAGGATCCCTTCGTGTTAAAAATAAAAAAACGGCCCGCGGAAGAGGAGATCACAGAGCTACATCTGAGATATTTTCTTTCATCAAGTGACACACAGGGGGGAGGGGGGAGGGGGCAGTATTTTCTCACTCAGCCGCTCTGCACGTGAGGCCAATGCTCGTCGCAATGACACTCAAACTCGATATCTTACATCACAGAGCTGGGCGGGCTGAGATCATGACACCGTGCGTGTTAATGTGGTCAGGGGTAGCCATCACCACGCCCGGCCGCCTTTGTCTCCCCGTCGGGAATGTCTACACACGGCACCGGGCACTCATTTAACGTTGACTCGACCTCGGGTAGGCCCCACGACTGGTTAAAACTTCGTCTGTTGTTGGTCGTGAGTGGAAATCGAACTCGTGTCGCCAGGTTCGTAGCGCCACTGCTCGCCAGATTCTCTCACACACACACAGTCACTAACACACAGACTCACAACACACTAGCACACACACACACTCACACACACTCACACACACTCACACAGACTCACACAGACCCACGCACACTCACACAGACTCACACACACTCACACAGACCCACAACACACTGGCACACACACACACTCACACAGACTCACACAGACCCACAACACACTCACACAGACTCACAACACACTGGCACACACACACACTCACACACACTCACACACACTCACACAGACTCACACAGACTCACAACACACTGGCACACACACACACTCACACACACTCACACACACTCACACAGACTCACACAGACTCACAACACACTGGCACACACACACACTCACACACACTCACACACACTCACACAGACTCACACAGATCCACGCACACTCACACAGACTCACACACACTCACACAGACTCACACAGACCCACAACACACTCATACAGACTCACACACACTCACACAGACTCACACAGACTCACAACACACTGGCACACACACACACTCACACAGACTCACAACACACTGGCACACACACACACTCGCACAGACTCACAACACACTGGCACACACACTCACACAGACCCTCACTCAGAGCTCCGCATCAGGAAACACAGCGGAGGCATCCGCGAATTGACAGCTCCGGGTGGGGAGAGCTGGGGAGAGGGAGAGCGGGGGGGGGTGAATGAGACGAGTGGGCGAAAGTGGGGAGGGTGAGGGAGACAGGAGGCCTGAACAGAGGGAGTGGGAGGGAGAGATGGAGGGAGGGAGGAGAGGAATGGAGAGATGTAGGGAGGGAGAGAATGACGGAGGGGGAGGTGAGATGGAGGGAGATGGAGGAAGCAATGGAATGAGAAAGGGGTAATGGAGAGGGAAAATAATGGAGGCAGGAATGAGGGGAGGGAGAGAGATGGAGGAAGGGAGGAATGCAGGGAGAGGGCATGCGAGGGGAGGAGAGGGTAGCGAGGTGCCGTTGTGTGGGAGCGATTGAAAGAGAGAGGGAGGGAGGAAGTGATGGAGGGAGGTGGAGAGGGGAGTGGGAGACCGGGGGGGGGGGGAATCTGGCTCGCTCCTCCTTCCCCTGCTGCTGCTGCTTCTCGTGCGGGCACCGCGTGGCGAATGCCGCAGCAGCAGCTGCTACTGCTGCTACTGCTGCTCGCGGCTCGGGGCAGACAGCATCCGGACTCGAACCCGGGTGCGAGGGCGAACCGCTCAAAGGAGCGAAGGCTCGAGAGGGCGCCCCGAGACGTTCCGCGGCGACCACCTCCTCCTGCTCCTCGCGTAAGTGACCTCTTGATTGATCCCACTCACGTTTGTGCTCTCGGGATACTGCTCCTCCTCATCCACCCCTCCTTATCCACCTCCTCATCCACCTCCTTCCTCCATGACCGCCTCCGCCACCTCGTTCACCACCACCTCGTTCACCGCCACAACTCTTTGACAACGGCGCTGAACAGTCACGCGCAGCATATGCCACGTGGATGTACTCGCCACCGGCCATAGGAGCGTCGACATGCCACCGCTGGCTGAGGGATGCCAATAGGCAGACTGCGTGGCGTGAGCTGGCAGGCGACTTGACGACCTCTCTCTCTCTCTCTCACTGCAGTCTGCTCGCCAGTCCACGCGTGGTTCTAAAACAGTCCCGACCAGCGCTGCGTCGCTCCACTGCTGGATGACGAACGCCGCGCGCTGCGTCGATGGCGCGCGCGGAGGGGGGGGGGGGGTTTGTTCGACCGCACCGCGGCAATACGCCGACTGGATGCGAGTCGGTTAATGGGGAAATGAAGGGGCGAGCTATGGACTCGTTCCCATGTTCCGCTCGCCCAGGCCGGGAACTCGGGGAGTGGCTCAGCGCGCGTCCAGCAGCGAACGGACCGTGGTTCTGCGTGAGCGCGACTCCTCCAAGTGACTCTGCGGAGAGCGGCGTTAGTCAAAGGGCTGCTCGGCGCTTGCTGCGTCGCTGGAAGCCCCCAACCCCCCCCCCCCCCCCCCCCACGTTCGCGGATTCCAACATTTTCCCAGCGGCCGCCCCGGTTAATACTGCGGTGTGCATTCACCCTGAGAATGCCCACACTGTCGAGCGCTCGGTGGACGTTAAAGACCGCGTGGCGTCACGAGAGGTCCGTGGCGTGTAGCGGCTGCGGGGAGCGGTCCTCGTTGGACACGTTACGGCGCAAACGACTCAGTTGAGATTGCGAGTCGCGGCAGGGCTCCCTCCTACAGACGCTTTGGCAGGACCCTCCTGGAAAAGAGCCTTGAGACTCAACGAGGCTCTGCTGGGGAAACAGCTGCGCATCCCCCGGGCTTTGTAAAGATGAACAGCGCTGTCGACACGATTCGTAGTTCGGTGTTTACGCTCAATTTGTATTCCTTGAAACAAGCACCGCCATTCTGTCACTCCGCTGCTGGATGGCGTTCCTCGCCCTGCGCCGGTGCGGCTCGTGGAGGGTGCTTAGCCATACTTCCCCAGGCCGGTCAGTGCGTGGTAGCAAAGATGCGGAGGCGTGGATACACAGTACCTGGTGCTGTAAACACCCCCCACACCCCCACACCCCCCACACCCCCCACACCCCCCACACCCCCCACACCCCCACATCCCCACACCCCCCACACCCCCCACACCCCCACACCCCCCACACCCCTACACCCCCACACCCCCCACACCCCCCACACCCCCACACCCCCCACACCCCCCACACCCCCACACCCCCCCCCACAACCCCCACACCCCCCACACCCCCCACACCCCCACACCCCCCACACCCCCCACACCCCCCACACCCCCACACCCCCCCCCACAACCCCCACACCCCCCACACCCCCACACCCCCACACCTCCATACCCCCACACCTCCACACCTCCCCACCCCCCCACCCCCACACCCCCACCCTCCACACCCCCACACCCCCACACCCCACCCCCCACCCCCAGCGCGTGTGGTCGGCGTGGAAGAGTAGGCCAAGCTCCCTCGCCCGCTCTCTGTAGCGCCCTCCAGCGGAGGCCCTTCCGCCAGCGGTGGCGTTAGCGGGCGCTTGCAGGGGCCGCGCCTTTGCCACACGCGGCATTACCACCTCGGCCAGATGTCCGAAGCAGAGCAGGGATGGGCGACCCCCGTTGCGTAACCAGGTGCTCTCGGCTGCCGCTGCTACTGCTGCTGTGCTACATTGTCAGCAGAGGGCAATTGTTGTACTGCACTATGGTCCAACGTCTACGCTCTTCGCATTGGACGACATGCGTTCATCTCGCGCCAACGTGTCGACACGGGGGGCGTTCTGCTGTCGTTTGTTTTGATCAAATTGCTCTTTCCAATAGCACGTGGCAATCCCCCAGCGTTCGTTGAGCAAAAGTGCGACTCTGCCCACGAGCCCCAGAACGCCGACACCGCTTCAGCGCTGCCGCATGATGACGATGACGATCTCAGCGTGGGAAGCAACGGGGCCGATGGCGATCGCGAACCTTCATTCGCGTGCGCGCGCGGAAACCTGCGGCTTGAACACGGCACAGGGGCGGTCCATTTATAGATACCCCGCTTAATCGATCGGGCGATATCGCATGCAGGAGGGACGCGACGCGTTGTTTTATTATCTCGGAGCCGCCACTCGCCTCCCCCTGCACTGTCACTCTCCGCGCGCGCGTGAACCCCCGTGACCGCCCCGTGCCCCCCCCCCCCCACACGGCACTCTGCGCACCCCGTGCTCCCCCCCCCACACACAGCTCTCTGCGCACCCCGTGCCCCCCCAGGATCTCTGTGAACCACGTGCCCCCCCCCCCCCCCCCCCAGGATCTCTGTGAACCACGTGGTAACCGCACCACGGCTAAACGCGCTCGCGGGATCGCTCTTGCGTGCTGTGCCGCGTACGCCCAGGGATAAATATACAGCCGAGCAATACATAATGAAAGGCGTCCTCCTTCCAATTTGTCACTTCCGTGATCACGAAGCGTTGCGCAATCTGGAGCTTTCTTCGCAATAAACGCTCGCGATGGGAGCGGTGGGGCGGTGGTGGGCGAAGCGGTGGTGTCACACACCAAGAAGGTCATGGGTTCGATTCCCCGCCCGGGTGCCTTTCTGGTTGAAGATTCGCACGTTTTCCCCCTGTTCTGCGTCGGTTTCCTCGGGGATCTCGGTTTCTCTACCACAGTCACAAACAAACAAAAACCGGCCCATGCAATGTAACCGACATTGCCCACAAATCATCCCGATGCTGAATAATGTGACTGCAAATTACTCAATTGGGATTACTCAACAGCAGCAGCAGCAACATCGCCCCCTACTGCGATTACATTTTATAATTTAGACCAGTGGTTCTTCTTTACTGCAGCCTTACACCCCTTTGATTCTCAATCGTAAACAAATGTATAATGTTAAAACATAAATAAACATAGGTTTCATGAAACAAAGTGCTTAATTTGTGTTTTCCATTATTTACCTTCGAAAAAATCATCTGGCCATGTCTCGCACCCACAAAAAGGGCATCTCGCACTCCCAGGGGATGCGTGCACGCCAGGCGAAGGAGAAGAGCCACTGCTGTAAGCCACGGCGCCTGGCACACAATTAGCCTACTCTGCACCAACTTCCTTGCGGGGTCTTGAACGTCCCAATGTGAAGCAGACGGCGCGCGTGCGATAGTTAATACACCCGCAGTATTAACCAGGGCGTCCTACCGCGAGCGAACCACGAACCTCTGCAACAAGGGGTGGGAGACGAACTGTGGCCGAATGGATGTCGTACGAACGGGACATCAAAACCATAGAACGTGGCAAAGTAAACACGAGCCGGATATTGTTTTTCTCAATAATACCAATGCCTGTTTTGTTTGTTTGTTTATTTCACCAGGCAAGGCCCACACTGAGCTCTTTGTAGCTATTTTTCAGAAGCAACCTGGCTCAACGTCGCATGTAAATGTTTAGCTGCCCAATACTCTAAACGCACGTTGTTTTTAAATGTGGGAGGGAAAGAAACCGGTGGACCCTGAGAAAATCCCACGCGACCCACGTAGAGAGAGACACGCAAACTCCAAATATACAGCAGCAGGCGTCAGGGTCGGGATCGAACCCACGACCTCCTGTACACCAGGCGAGGTAGTTAACATCTCATAGCCACCGTGGCACCGCTAGTTTATTCAAGAGAGCTTCACTGAGTCTCAAGACCCCTTTGCACAAGGCTCCTGCTCCATTCGTATGTTTGGCCAGCTCACATTCAAGAAGCAGTTGTTTGGCTTCGTGCGTGTTGAGCCCGGAAACCCCGGGGAAAACCCATCGACCCACTTGCTGTACTGCCAGCACCTGGCCACAAATCTTGTCGTGATCAGCCAACCCTCGCCTCGACATCGTTGGATCGCAGGCGGGCATCATCACGACCAGTAGTTGTGCGCGGTTCACTGATGATTCACAATTATTATGGGCACGCACATACTTGTATGTGCGTGCCCATAATAACACTTGTATGTGCGTGCCCATAATAATACTTGTATGTGCGTGCCCATAATAACACTTGTATGTGCGTGCCCATAATAATACTTGTATGTGCGTGCCCATAATAACACTTGTATGTGCGTGCCCATAATAACACTTGTATGTGCGTGCCCATAATAACACTTGTATGTGCGTGCCCATAATAACACTTGTATGTGCGTGGCCATAATAATACTTGTATGTGCGTGCCCATAATAACACTTGTATGTGCGTGCCCATAATAATATTTGTATGTGCGTGCCCATAATAACACTTGTATGTGCGTGCCCATAATAACACTTGTATGTGCGTGCCATAATAACACTTGTATGTGCGTGCCCATAATAACACTTGTATGTGCGTGCCCATAATAACACTTGTATGTGCGTGCCCATAATAACACTTGTATGTGCGTGCCCATAATAACACTTGTATGTGCGTGCCCATAATAACACTTGTATGTGCGTGTCCATAATAACACTTGTATGTGCGTGCCCATAATAACACTTGTATGTGCGTGCCCATAATAACACTTGTATGTGCGTGCCCATAATAACACTTGTATGTGCGTGCCCATAATAACACTTGTATGTGCGTGCCCATAATAACACTTGTATGTGCGTGCCCATAATAACACTTGTATGTGCGTGCCCATAATAACACTTGTATGTGGGTGACCATAATAATACTTGTATGTGCGTGCCCATAATAACACTTGTATGTGCGTGCCCATAATAACACTTGTATGTGCGTGCCCATAATAACACTTGTATGTGGGTGCCCATAATAACACTTGTATGTGGGTGCCCATAATAACACTTGTATGTGC